GGGGGGGGGGTTGTCAGTCTGCTTGGGGACACAGAGGGACAGTTGTCAAGGCCTTCCCCAAGTGGAAGCTTCACCTACACATTTTCCATTGTTGACGCCCACCTTGCCCCAGACATTGTCAGCAACATGGCTATTTTTATCTTCAACTGCCTGGTTTGTATGTCCTGAGTTTCACAGGACCTTAACAGATTTTCACAACATGCAAGAGAAATGCTGGGAGGCTCCAAATCATTGCACTTCGGTACAGTTACTTTAGGGGTAGCAGTGGAACAAATAACTTCAAAACCATGTGTTTGATCTGGGTTACCTTTTGGTGGCTTAACTTTCATCAACGATGTGTCCAATGAACAGAAATTTCAATACTTAACACAAAATGGAATGTTTTCACTTCCCATTATTTCTCAGCTCAAAAACTCAACAAGTTCCATTTCTTTCAACTATTTAACCAAAAATGGAAGACAGGAGAAAGATTCCTAAAAACTACTATCTTCATTACAACCATCTACAGAGAACCTTCCATATTTCTAGCATCTTTATATTCACCAGGCATTATAAATATATAACCTAAATTCTTAAACTCTGTAGAGACAGTATTGTCTCAATTTTATAAATAGGGACAGGCTGAGAAAGACTGGTCCTTATGTGTAAGTTCCCACAGCTAGGAATTGACTAACTTAGAGCTGTTGGATTCCCAATGACAAATACTATTAACACAGCTTCAAAAAGCAAAGGACTTCAGCAGTGAAATAAGTCTTCCTATATGACCTCCTGACAGGTCTATCAGCAGCAACCATTCCTCTCAAAGGCTCAGAGGCTGAAGGCTTAAAAAGAGCATTGACAACGAATGAGTAGTTTTAATCTATTCATGTATATTTAATGAGTGCAATTCTATCTAGCCTTCTGAAGTTCAAAATTGATACTGATGCTAATAAAAAATAAAGAAGGATAACATGTAATAAGGAACTGTAATAAATACCAAGGACATGAAGTAGATGTAGCCTTGGCCTCAGTGATGAGATATCACACAAGAGATGTGAAACAATGTGCTAATGATATCAACAGGAAGTCATGGGATCATGGAGAATCTAACTCATGAATTTAAATTGAAGTGATGTTTTGCTGTATTTCATTTATATCTTTCCTGAAATGGAATAATTCAATGTTTTTATTTAAAAGGTTACTTACATTAAGTCTTCCTGCAGAGTAAAGATCAACTAGTACGAACATGTTAAAATGACTTTATTGCTCAATATGTTGAATTATATAAGAATAAACTATAATATAATGCATTACAAGACCTTAGCACCATTGTGAGCCATGTAGGTCACTCAGAATCACAAAATTGTGGAGTTTGCAGAGTTACCAAAGATTGTCCTTCCTCTGGTACCAGAAGATCCTCAAGAGAAGGAATTGCACCTCATGGTTCTGCTGACCCACCTCCCTCATAATCTGGTTCATTACTGGACATCACACACACACAATGGTCGGAGTGACTGCAGAAAATATTTTTTTTCTGAACTGCATTTTGAATTTCTAAATTTTGCAGAAAAAAGGATGAATATTTAAATTAGTTAAACTATTTATTAGCTGTCTGAGTAGGAACAATATTGCAGGAAGATATAATTATAAAACCTGAATATAGCTGGCATCCAGCCTAGAGTTTTTAGTGTATTTATAAAACATGCCAAATATCAGATGGCATGCAAAGGGTACTGTGTTAATAGCAGATAGCCAAAACACTGGCTAGGAAACAATTTCTAGGAAAGACTAAAAAATCTGACTAAGCTTTTGGCAGAGCTATTCTACAATACACTATTTCTCTTGAAATCTAACTACTTAGAAATAGAAATGGCTTGAAATAAATGAGGGAAGTTTAGAACTTTCATTTTCTACACAAGGGAATATAAATATGGAAAGCAGGGTACTAACCACCAGAATGTTCACTTTGTGAATGCAAACCCCCTAAGTTATCTACTCCCTCTCCAAAATGCAATCCTATAAAATTTGAAGTCTATACAACTGAGAAGCTGCAAATTAGAGACAAAGCAGTCACTAGCATTGCAAAAAATGTCAAAGGGACTGCTGTAATAACAAGAAATAGAGAGAAACACAGGCATAAAGAATAAAAATGGCAACAAATAAGTACCTATCAATAACCTTTTATGTAAATGGATTAAATGCTCCAGTCAAAAGACATAGGGTAGCTGAATGGGTAAGAAAACATGACCCATATATATCCTGTCTACAAGAGACTGACCTCAGAACAAAAGACTCACACAGGATGAGAGTGAAGGGATTGAAAAAATTTTTCCATGCAAATGGAAAACGAAAAAAGGCCAGGTTAGCAATACTCATATCTGACAAAACAGACTTCAAAGCAAATGCCGTAATAAGAGACAAAGAACTTCACTACACAATAGCAGAGGGAAAAACCTAACAAGAGGATATAACCCTGGTAAACATATATGCACCCAACATAGGAGCACCTAAATATATTTTTAAAACTCTTGGAGGACTTTAAGGGAGAGATGAACAGTAACACAGTCACAGTAGGGGACTTCAACACCCCACTGACTTCACTGGATAGATCTTCCAGACAAAAAATCAACAAGGAAACAGTGACTCTAAATGGCTCACTAGATGGGATGGATTTAATTGACATTTACAGAACATTTCACCCCAAAGCTGCAGAATATACATTCCTCTCAAGTGCACATGGGATATTCTCAAAGATAGACTACATGTTAGGACACAAAACAAGTCTCTACAAGTTCAAGAAGACTGAAATCATATCAAGCATCTTCTCGGATCACAATGGCATGAAACTAGAAATCAACTACAACAAAAACACTCAAAAACATTCAAACACATGGAGGCTACATAGCATGTTATTAAATAATGAATGGGTTACCAATGAGATCAAGAAAGAAATAAAAAAATTTCTGGAAACAAATGAAAATAAACACACAATCCAAAATCTATGAGACATCACAAAAGCAGTCCTGAGAGGGAAGTTCATAGCACTACAGAGCTACCTCAAGAAACAAGAAAAATCTCTAATAAGCTATCTAACCCTACAACTAAAAGAATTAGAAACTGAAAAACAAGAAAAACCAGAGTAAGTAGAAGCAAGGAAATAATAAGGATCATAAAGGAAATAAATGACATAGAAACTAAAAAAACAATACAAAAGATCAATGAAACCAAGAGTTGGTTCTTTGAAAAGACACACAAGATTGAAGAACCACTAGCCAGACTCTTCAACAAATAGAGAAAGGACCCAAATAAATAAAATCAGAAATGAAAGAGGTGAAGTAACAACTGACACCACAGAAATACAAAGGATTGTAATAAAATATTACAAATAACTAGATGTCAACAAATTGGGCAACCTGGGTGAAATGGACAAATTCCTAGAAACACACACTCTTCCAAAACTGACTCAGGAAGAATCAGAAAATCTAAATAGACCAATAACAACAAATGTAACTAAAGCAGTAAGAGAGAAAAGGAGCAAAGTAAATAAGGCATTATTATATAGAAGGCTTGGATATCGCTGCTGTAAATGTCCATCAGTGTCATTTATGCCAATCTTTCTAACGTTTTTTGACATCCCCTTAAAGATAAATTATCTCCATATGGGATCATGCTTCTCTCATAATCTGTAATGTTGTATCTCAAGTGTGGGTTTCCGTGAGGTGATAAATAGTTCCATTTTACTGTCTCAATGACATTGCTACAACCCTGTAACAAATCTGCATCTATTAATCCAATTTCCTTTAGCGACACAATAACCAAGGCCTTCCAAGATAAGGAAGAAAATCAAATTTCAAAATCAAAACCACATTCCAAATTTCTTAAAAGATTTTTTTTTTTTTTCAATTCTTTCGTAAAAACATTGGTCACCATTTAACATACAGTGGCAACAAAATGCACCCAATTTACATGCATCAAGAAGTCAATAAATCATAATACACAGATGACATGAATTTAAATGAACAGTACTAAAATGTAGCTCATGTTGCATTTAACCACAGTTATAGTGCTCCCAATAAAGAAATAGCTAATATAGAAATAAGAATTCCAGTTCCAATCTGAAATAAGGTTCTTTGTAACAAGTAACATAAAATAATGGTTACATAAAGTAATTAACTTAAGGGGAACCATTTTTCAGAAATCACTTTATGCAAAACGCAAAGATCTTGAAAAATGTGTATCTTAGGTTAAGGGTGCCATTTTTTGAAAAGTAATTACCTGAATGATGCAAATGTTTATTGTGTCCATAAATTAAAATATCTTTCAATATGAAGATTTTCTGTTACATGTTTTGACACCTTAAATAATGTTGCAGATGTTCAGCTAAACTGAAAGATTCTGTAGGACTGGGTTATTTTCAACAGGAAAAAAACCAAAAACACACACAACAGTAATCAAAAGCCCTTTCTAAACTCAAAGGCAAAGTTTCTGGATATGGGATTTAATTAATAAAAAAATTTAAGCACCACAATAAAATGCTTTTTTTGAAAACAGAAAGGACTGGCAATATATAAGTTAGGGAGGGACAAAAGCACATAAACATTTACCAAAAAAAATTTTTTTAATGAGCACTCTAATCCTCTCATCTGAAATAATAAAAAATTTTTGGTGTGTGTATGGTATTACGTGGAAGATACAAACCACAATTCTGCTTAAGATAGCAAGTTCTATTAATTCTAATTTGACCAAAGAGACTGTGATACTATTTGTACATATTAAGAATGGTATGTATTTATCTTTTGTTTTATTATTTTTTTCCTTCAAAAATCTATGCTTAAAGGATAGCACTAAATTATTTTGAAGTGCACTAAAGAGAATTTACAATAAATTGCCTTGTGGGGAAAATTGGCTCCTCAGGAAAAAATAGCTCAAAGTAAATATTTGCAAATAAAAATTTTAAATATATAGTTATAGCTGTAAATACAGCTATCTTATAAGTTTCCCTTCTTTTGCATCTATTTACCAACATTAATAATTTCAGTGGCCCAAGTAGTAATTTTAGTTTCAGTTTTTCTCTCCATGATGTGTTTAATTACTCTTACAAGTAAGAATAACTTTTTAGTATGTGTAACAGGTCACAAGCTAACAAACTTTAAGGGTTCATAAAATTAAAATTTATGATTCCTATACAGATATACTTAAGTCAGATATACAAGAATGGAAATAAATAACTTCCACCTAGAATCTGATTTAAATACCACAAAAGAAGAAAAAAGATCCAAAAAGGGAGAAAACATTTCAATTCATGTAACTTTTGACTATTAGACTATATATAGCAAACCCCAAAACATAAACTATTTATATCTCACTTCAAAAGAAGTTATCCAGAAATAAAATTCATTAAACAAGATTCAAAATCAGGATTACGAGTAGGAAGTACTCAGACTCATTCAATTCAGGTGAGAAGACATTTTGGAGGAAAAAACCCTTCCTGAACAATATAAATTGTATCTAATTAACCTTACAAACATCCTTTCAGCTTCACCACTTGATACCATAAACCTTCTTGACAGTTCCCATTTTTTATTTCTCTAAAAAAACTCTTTTAGCCTCTAAATTTTCAAGTGTCATGTCCAACCCCTTAGTTCACTCTAATTCCACAATCACCATTAAAAAGACCTGAAAATAATAATTTTCTTCCTCTCAGGAGTCAAACACCACCATGTAATTATGAAAAATTGAGAAATTAAAAGTAAAAAAGTCAATTTGAAATAATATACTTAAGATATATGATTTTATGTAGTAGGAAGACCACAGAATTGCTCATTCTGATTGACCTCTGGCACTTGAGACAGGAAATGAAAAGGAGTAACAGAAACTTAAAATCCTTAAAGTCTGCCCCTGTTTTGAACAGATGTGGGAATAAATAAAAATTACTAAAATTATATGATTGTGAATGTTTACTGTGAAACAGTACAAAATTGATGTTGCCAGAAAGAGAGTAAAAAATCTTCAACTGATAATAAACATCTTACATAATTCGGAAAAATCTTAAGGTTGAGTTGTAACTACAGGGAACACAACAGAAAATGTTTTCATGCATATACACGTTAAGTAACAAATACGCAAACCCCAAGTCAGTACAATACATCAATGACTGATACTTAAATGATATTTGGATATATTAAGAAAGAGAAGGAAAAGGTAAAATGTTGACTGCCATTGATGAAAAAGCATTTCAACAATTTACATGAAATGATACTAAACAGTTTTTTTAAAAAAGATGTCCTAAGAAAACCAAGCCACAATAAGTTAGTGTTTTCCATAATACATGCTGAATTATTTGATCCCATATCTATACACTGTGACTGTCTTAATTCCTAAATGTTGTGACAGCATATTTAATAACTGAGGTACATTAGTTTACATCCTTTATGGGTTACTCTAAGAGGGTTAATTTTTCTTTTCCAGTTTTTCATCTTCTTCACCTACTCCCAAGAAAATCAAAGGAAACATTCCTAGAATGCAGCCAATAGTCACCCCAACAGCTTTGCCCTAAGGAAACAAAAGAAAACATTTTTTGAAAGTTATTTTACCCATGTAAAAGGAATCCTTGCTTAAGTATCTGTAATAAACAATTACTACGTACTATAAAATTCAACTGTGACTGCATGTCTTTTGATAACAGTAACTTAAATATAAAAATAAGCTACAAAAATATTCTAGAACAAATGATATTTAAAGTTCAAAGCAACCAGGAAAATTCTTTTATCAAATTGCCATACGAATAACATCAAAGAAACACTCAAGTAGAAAACACTTATTAAATATTGTACATATATTTTAATGTCAGAAGAAAAACCCTCACCTAGATTCTTATTTTGACCTTAGATAATGTTTGTATTTACTTATACATACTTACAGAGACTGTATTCTATTTTAGATTCCTGAGTTCCCCATATACATGAAATGACCATTGCTAATAGACCCCACTTCCACTTCCCACCCATTCGGTTAGAATGCCTGTTACTATCATCCATGAAAACCAAGGCTTTCTTCCCCCTCACTTTAGGAATGCCAGTCAATGAGTTCCAACACAATTATCTCAGTGGGGCACAAAGTCAACAGGGCAGAGAAGTAGGAAAGAAATGGGGTATCCTTTCCTGGCTCCCTGATCAAGGACCTGAAACCTATTTTTCCATTGTAAGAACAGTTACTTATATATATTATTTTTGGGTCTTATGATACTAGGTACTATAGTTAACTATACTGGAACTAACCAAGGACTTGAGTACATTTGTAAAATTGTTCTGCAAGAAAATATTTTCAGAGTTTCAAACAACCAAATTACAAATGGAGTTTTAAAATACAAGGTATGTCAGTTAGAACCTGCATATGCATTGGCATTGATTCTATTTTATTGATTCTAAATTTCAGAGTTAGCTTATGTCATAACTAGATGGCTGATCACTAACTTCAACCACTACAGGCTGTTTATACCCAAATGCTATGTTACAAAATAGAAGATTTGATCCTAACACATAACAAGCAGAGTCAACAACTAAGGAACAGAATTCATATGCTTATGATTTTATCAAAAAACACACTCACAAGTATGTGTGTGTGTGCGCGCGTGTGTGTGTGTGTATATATATATATATATATATATATATATATATATATATATGACAGTTTAGTATTTGAGGTGCTTTTGTTATAGAAGAGGGGGGAAGTAGACCTGCTTATAATATAGACAGAAACAGAATTATCAATTATGTGAGAAAAGGAGACCCCAGGAAAATAATCTTCTCTTGACCCCAACTGTTGTGTTAAAATGTTAAGCCAAATTGCTAGAATGTTAGAATATCCTTACGCCTCAACAACTCTGGCTGATTGATATTAACTAGCTAGTCTCACTTCAATTTATCTACAAATTGCAGGATATGGACACACACACATATAATTTTTTATGCACCGATTGATAGGTCTAAGGTACAGCCTGAGAATTTGCATATCTAATAAGTTTCCAGGTAACGTTGATCCTGCAGGTCCTAGCATTGCACTTAGAGAACCACCACCCTATACAATCCCCTTTTCACACAGTTTTAACCATCACCGACCTTTTCAGTGAGGCCTGTAGTGACCCTCCTATTTAATACTGCAATTTGTCTCCATCCTAGCACTCCCAATCTCTTTTACTCTGCTCAGCTTTCTTTTTTTCTTTAATTTCCCATAACACTGTGAACTTCTAATATACTAAATATTTTACTTGTCAGATTTTAAAATTGTTTCTCTCTCCTCACACTGCTAGAAAGTAAGATCCACCAGAAAAAAGATCTTGTTTTGCTAACCAATATATTCAGAACTCCTAGATCTGTACCCTGCATATAGTAGGCAAACAATAAATATTTGTTGAATGAGTGAATGAATGATTACACCTCCATCTCTAATTCAGACCCTCCAACTCTTGACCTTTAATCCAAATGCCTACAAGGTATCATCACTTGAGCGTTCTACTAACATCTCAGGTTGAACATGTCCAAAACAGAGCCTATTCTCTTCCCTTACAAAGTTCTTCCTCCTCTCTTCTTGACTTAAGTGGTAGCACTGTGACCCACCCAGTTTCCTTTCTGTTTTAAATAGCACTCCATCACCTAGGTACGAGGTTCAAGCTCCTCAGCACAGTTTATACATCCACAGAAAAATGCCTTTCCTGTCTGATCCATTCTTACATCTCCAATGCCGTTTCCCACTACTGCTTCTATCTACAACTACTACATATTATATCTCAGCAATTACTAATTTCTTATATTCTTCTGAACACACCCTGTTTTTATCATGCTTTTCTACTGGCTATTCAATTCCAATACTTGGAATTCTCTTGTTCACCTAGTAAATGTCTCACCAATAATTTTTAAAAATCAGCTTTGGATCTAATAATCACCAAGAAATCTCCCCTTAAAAAGAAACTTCTCCCCACAAAATGTTAATTCTTATACTTATGCTATTGATATATCTATTGTATAATTCTATTACTGCATACATCACACTAAATTATAATTTGTTTAAATGTCTTGTTCTTTACCTAAACAACTCTCCAAAGAACTATAGTTTATATTCATTTTATGTCTAGCATATAACTGATACCTCAAGATTAACTGAATCATATGAAGAATTTTTAAAAAATCAAGTACACCTACAAAGTATAAGTCAATAAAAAAAATTACTCTTCCTCTGAGAACTGCCAAGGCTTGGACAATTTGTGCTAAAAACTCCACTCAAATCAATTTTAGTCTCAAATTTCTCAAGGGACTGAACTTGCTCTGGCTACCCAAATTCATTATCATAAGCCATATAAAGTACTTACCAAATGTGTACTAACACGCGTTTGCCACATGTCAACTTGCTTTGGTGTGAGATCAGGAATTGAGAGGCCTAATCTGGCAGCCAAAGCTTCAACATAGCCTGCTAGTCTTTAAAAATACATGAGGACAGAATATAAGTTGTTAGAGACATACAAATGTCCTCAGACAATAAAAAACTAATTATTACAAAGAGAAACTTGATAGTTTTATACCTGTAATTAATTGGCACTCTAGAAATGGTGTAAACATTTTCTTAAACTTTCATTTTTTATTGTGTACAAACATATCCAGTTTAAAACTATTTTCATATTACCATATTTAATATAAAGGTAAACTAATTGACTTAGAGAGCTTATTCTCTACCATTACTTTTAAAAGACTGATTCAAGATACAGAAAATTTTTTACAACAATTACACTTTATACACTTATTCTAAATTCAAAGTAAACACTTTAATATATGATATAAATAACTGTCATCAGAAAGTGAAAATTTCCAAAATTTATCAGATAGATATAAGAAAACCAGCCTAGAAACTAGAAACTTCAGAGCAATCTCAAGTATTTATCAATTCTAAGTTACCTTCACTTATTGGATACAATCTTACTTTATGAACTTTAGAAAAATTTCCAATTAAACTATGCATACCATCATTTATGAGATGGATCCCAATGTTAGATACATTAAATCTAAAAAACTGTGCATCTAAGAACCAATAAAATGTGGTATTTGTTATTTAACGATATTTTTTAAAGGGAAAGAAGAAATAGTTCTTAAAGTATCCCAACAAAATCTTTCTCTCTAGCCAAAATAACTGTTTTATGATGCAATCTAAAGCTAAATGGCCTCAAAATCTATTAGATCACTTAGTTCTATCAAATACAGAAAGCTATCACAGCAGCTATAATATCGTTACTAACCTTAAACTTGGAAACTGGGAAATGAAATGTTTGAGGGGTGATATCATTACAGATTTACACCAGAAATTCCAGGACTATAAAATTTCTGCCTTGACCCCAAAGCAAAGAAACTATTTTTAACAGTAGCTTTGGCCCCAATTCCAGTGTAAAAGTCTAATATCCTGGGTTAGATCAGTTTAAAGCTGCCTTTGCCTAGTTTATAAGGCTAAGTAGACTTCTATTAGTCCCAAATCCAAATTTCAAAACTTACCACTCCAATGAACCAAGGAAGGAAGAAACAAAACCAAAGATTGAGTAAGAGAGTATGTTTATCAGTATAATTAATGTCAACTTAGACTAATTTATACTCCCCAGGCTTCCCAAGCTCAGGAAGCAGCCCAGGACATTTGCTGCTTGGAAGAGTGAGTGCAGAAGTAGAAGGAGAGAAAACTGGCCTTTCTAAAGTAGATATCCTCAGTTTCATCATTCCTGCCACAGGGAGTAAAAAGAGCAAAAACTGGCCAAACACATGTATGCTTTGGCCATTATTCTTTTTGAAACTTCTTTTCTCTAGAAAAAATATGCCCAGTCAGTATCCTCACCTTTGAGCCATCTCTTATTTCTGGGCTTAGTAGGAGGAGGGTGGGGTAGAGTAACGATTGGGGTTCTTACTTTTAATCCTGTCTCAGCTTTGGAAATGTCTATAAAATACATACATATGAATACTTTACTTACATTATGATAGTTTTAGAAAAAAATTTTGCATGTGTCAGAATTTCTTGAGAATATATTAAATACAAATGTCAAGGCCCCATTTCTAGAAACACTAATTCTGTATGACTGGGGTGCGACCTAGGCATCTATATTTGATGTGCACCATGGATTTAGCACTACTGATTTAGAGATTTTAAAATCTAGTTCTAAAACACACACGAAAATAAATGTCTTTTTTTTTTTTTTTTTTTGCCTTCTCAATTACAGGAGAATGGAGAAAAGAGAGCAAGTAAGTACACACATGCACAAATGAATAAATGAATGGACCTACCCAAGACCAGCTAAATCTGACACAAGATTTCCCAAAGCAGCAGCTAAAAAAGTGGAAAATGGACAAGTGAATTGTTACATGGAAATCATAAAAATCATTATAATACATCGCTCTGTAATTAATAAAACACTGGTCTGGAAGTGTCAGCACGTTTCTCAAACTACAACAACTGTATCCAAAGTAACTCACTGGATAGCTCTGAATCTCAAGATTTCATAATAGAATGCAATTCTTCTGAGATTATAGTATTCTACCTCCATCAAGGAGTAGGTTTTTTTCTGTTGTGGCAGCCAGTTTCCATTATGGTTTCAATATTAAATTATGTGTATAATATTTTGGAGTTGTAACTTTCAGATAATATTTGGTAAAGGGAATTTGGATATTTAGAAAAAAGTAAAGCCATACGGATAGCTCTGAAATTCAAGGAAATCAATGAGAAGAAATGTCTCTTTCATTAACTCATCTATTTATGTGCTCCATGTAATACACAGAACACAGAACTATCCCCAAATTTCACCATCATGAAGAATAGAGTGTTAATTGGAAGGAAAGAAGAAGATAGAAGCAAATTAAATTTTCCATCTTGTATTTCCTTCTTTGATTTTTCTACCCAACTCGAAAATAAATAATTTAATAGAGAAAAGGGGCAGAAAGATTTCAAGGTGACTCGTAATTAAAAGAAAAACTTTGCTTTAACATAGTCAATATAGTAGATTATTATCACTCATTAACTAATATAAAGTGCCTAAAATTTCTCAGAAATTTTGTGTTACATACACAAAATTGAGAATTAAAGGACTAGGATTATAGAGATAAACTAGCAGAAATTTCAGTGAGTAAACTCTTTTAAATAAATTATCCTCTTCTACACTTAACCTACTGAAATGTTTTTTAAATATACAGCCAATAGAATATTATTATTATTATTATTAAATACCTGCCATAGTTGAAATTCCCAAAATAATTCCAATAGACATCTCAATATGGGTTCCCTGAAAAATGATTAAAGAAATTAATCTTAAAATATTAAAGCTCTAGTGACTATAAAGTAACAAAGCACTAATAAAAACAGATAACGTAGTCAAACATGTTATTGCAGCAAAATTATATACAAAAATATGCAGAAATATGCACATGTAATGCAGTAATTCACCTAATTATTAAGTATATGCAATATGCAATAATACCAATATTTTCTTCATTAAAATTAGGCTTTCAGAAAAATAAAAAATAGCAACACATGTACAATACAATTCATCATTAAAAATCTAGGATTTATATTTTCCTACTACAGAAAAAGGTTCTTTAAAGCTCTTTGAGCATGAAGTCGACAAACTCACCTAAATTTTAAATTCTGAATGCTACATCTATACTATTGTTATTTATACTATAAAAGATTGAAAAGACAGACTAAACCAGTTTCTAGGGACTCAAAATATCATAAACTCCAAAAATTATCCTTATAACACTTAGTTCTTTAATCATTAAGTGGTGGGACTATCTGATTAATTTATAAGTAACAATAGCCTTTAACACAATAGAGCTACAGCAAAAATGAGGCTCTGTTGTATTTCCAGTGCATTTATTTATTGAGAGAGTTTAAGACTTTCTACATCTAGGATTTCACTCCTCTGAAGAAAAGAGGAGCACATATTTTTACTTCTACTTTAAAGAGAAGGAACTGAAGAAGATTAAACTATACTAATGGGTTATTACATAGACTAAAGAAGAAATCTATGTAATTTCTTAGATACTGTGTTAGTTCAGTTCTAATCCTTGGGCAATGCTGCCATAAATGGACTTAATTTTCAAAAGCCCTTTTGAATACTAATGCTTGACACTTTTTTAAAATTTCAATGATATTTGTGGAGAGAAAGGGAAAAAAGAATGCCTCATCTGGTATGTAGAAATATTGCATTAATCAATTATTTATAAAACTGAAAAGAAGCTGAGTTAAGGTTAAGTTTTCCTCAATTTTCTTTCCCCTAGGCCTTTGGTTCCACCTCTTTAAAATCAATTTTTATAGACTATGGTCCAAACAGCCTGATGCACAAAAGTCTCCCAGGTACTTAAAATTACAAGGTTGTAAAGGTATCCAAAGAAAGAGATTTCCGAAGAAGGGAAAAAAAGAACAGGCACAAAAAATATAGATGTGTATCTTTATATATGGATACAAAAACAACAAAACACTGGAGCTTTAATATAGAAGATAAGTACCTGACAGTTATAGCCCACGAAAAATAAATGCAGCTTCTTTAACAGCAACGAATCATTAGAAATGGCCCAAGAAGAATCTATTTGCAATACATGTATTTAACAAGTACTTAAGTATTTAATCACTTGATTAAATTTAAGGAACCTGAAGGTCCTTCTAATAGCATAAAAAGCCTCATATAACTTACTTTTTCCCATAGTTACATCAAATTTCATGTTAACAGGTGAGTTAGAAATTATAAACAAATTTAACACTAGTTGTCTTAAAGGTTACCTGGTTCATCACCTGAGTATAATTATAATCTACTCTAGAATTCTAATAAATGTTATTCTAATTAAATTGCAAGAAAAATAATCCAAAACCCCACTAAGTTACAAAAAAATCCCAATAACAAAAATATAATAAAAAGCTATAAAACCAAAAGCTTAATATGATTAGCAGCAACAATAAAGGTCAAATCTATTACAAGGAGTTATACGGTGGTACCTCGGTTTTTTAATGTAATCCGTTCCAGAAGACCGTTCGAGTTCTGAAACATTTGAAAACCGAGGGATCCACAGCCAACAGCTGGGCCTCAGGATCTTGCCCTCAGCGGAAGCCGCGTGGCATGTTCGACTTCCAGGTGTGTTAGAAAATGGAAGCGTTTCCTTCCGGGTTTATGGTGTTCATTAACCGAAATGTTCGCCAACAGAGACGTTTGAAAACCGAGGTACCACTGTATATGACTTTGTTTTTATTACTACAACTAGGGCAGCAGCAGCCCAGAGAATACACCTACCCGGAAGAAGAAACTATCAAATGTCTATGGCATGACAGAAAAGCAGAATCAAATATCTTCTTAACCTACTATCTTAAAGCAGACATAGCTGTCCCACAATGTTAGAAGGCAATCAGTGTTTTTTAAAAAAGGTAAAAAGCCCCGCTGTTGTGGCTCAGTGGTTGAGCATCAACCCATGAACCAGTAGGTTATGGTTTGATTCCTGGTCAGGGCACCTGCCTAGGTTGCAGGCTTGATTCCCAGTAGGGGACATGCAGAAGGCAGGCGACCAATGATTCTCATCACTGATGTTTCTATCTCTCTGTCCCTCTCCCTTCCTCTCTGAAATCAATAAAAACATATTTTAAAATAAATAAATAAATAAAAAGTAAAAAGTTTTCTTATGGGGAAGGGGCAGGAGTGGGGTGGAGGGGTAATAAAGGAAAAAGGGGGGGCATCTGTAATGCCCTCAACAATAAAGATAAATTTTTAAAAACTCTTATGATAATAATGACCACTGTTTCCCTTTTCATAGATTCTATAGTTATATTATTTATGTACTTTAATTTCAACAGTGTATTACTAAGCCTCTTTGGAAAATTTCACTGTCCCTGAATTAGTTTGCAATTATTACAGGAAAATATTTTTGCCACACCTATTACTCTCAATCAGGTATTGAAGCCAATGATTTAAATATTTACTTTAGCATTATATAAATGATAACCTGGTAATTAAGTCCCTAAAAATGGATTTCAATGTAAACTAGAAAAACAAATATTACTAAATTAGACTCAACCATCTGGGGCCTGCAAAAGTAGTTCACTGTCACTTATAATGAGAAGCAGGCCTGAGCTGCACAAAATAGAGAACAATATTACAATAATTTAACCCTAGGATGTGGGTGTTTTGTTTTGTCGGTAGCTCTATTTAAACACATACATGCTACTTTAGATACTTATAAAACCCTATGGTGAAGGTCTTATCCTCAGGAACTTAAAAGCTACCCATTCTGAACTTAAAAGCTTTCCCTATTCTGAACTCTCCTCAAAGTCTCCCTGAGCCCCTCTTTATGCAAATATCATCTCAACACTTCCCTGTAGCCAGGTTAGTCTTTCGACATTTGAATATCTAAGGTCTGCCCCATGGAGGTGAAAAAAAGAAAGACTATTAAGATGGCAGTAGGGGGGCTAGAGGCTGTTAATAAAAATAATCTCAAATACTGAGCCATGTAAAATTGAAAGAGTATTTGCCACAGAGAGACTTTAATTCAGACAATCTATTCAAGAAACACATCAAGTCTTAACTATGGCTTATAAATTCATCATGACGAGGTTTTCATTACAATTAGATCTGACTTACATTAACTATTTAAATAATCTAACCAACTCAGATTTTAGTACTTTCAGGAAAGACAGTGTAGTTCTAAATGGTTGAATAAGTGTCTCACATTCACAGACATATAAACTGGCTAATTTGATCCTTATGTACATATTAGGAAAATGTTGAAATCAGTTCAAAAACCAGCATTTTGAAATAGTATTTTAGAGGCTTTTGCCAGACTACTCTGCGAAAGAATTATCCAACAGGTGTTATCACCTTCAAGTTGTGTGCATGTTAGAGTATCTCCTGTGACTATTTATGAAGTTGAACGCCTTCCTGCTGTGTGCACCCAGTCAGGTTCCTCAACCAGGGGAATGGACCGACTTTCTGGATATCTGATTCCCATCAGTCTGGACATAAAATGAGAATATACAGCAAAAAACTCCCAAGACATTCTTGAATGAATCAAGATATTCTTTAAGCAAATTCTGTAATCTACACAGTGTAAATTATCCTTTTATCCCTATTTTGAAACCAAATATTCTATTTATGTCCATCATAGCACATGTGACCTCCAAAACACCAAAAACCCCCCACAAAAAAACAAACCAAACCTTGCATCTCTCATATGTATTTTCCTCACATTCAATAATCCAAAAATCATTACTTTTTTTTTAACAGTCTCCTACACAACAGCTAGAATTTATAGAATTTTATTAAAGTTAGAGTCAGTGAAGAGAAGTGGGTAGAACACTAGGTAGTTTCAAAATAGTTGCATTTTAATCACGGAGTTATTTCTGACTTTAGAATCTAAATCCAATACCGGTATCCATTAACAAAAGGTATCACATACAGTGAAAAAGGTACATCAGCCATCTCTGAGACTAACTTTTAAAGAACACCCTTACATTAAAATGATCATGAGAAAGGAAAATCTTTTTAACATTACAATGGAACAAAGACAGAAGGGGTTTATATTCACAGTGATCTGAATTGAAATGTAAAACATCTCCCAGTTAAATGGATAGACTGTATCAAAACACCCTTTAAAACATTTTTGCATGGGAAAACTGAACAAGGAACTAATAAAATAACATACATGTGATGTGAACTGCTGATACAATTAAAGAATGTAAGAAAATTTAACATACATTTTTCTTTAATAAGATGGTTGAAACCAGAACAGGATAACATAGACTCAATAAATATGTGTTTATTATTGTCAACGCATTACCTAAGTCTTCATGATTACTACACATGATGTTTTAAAATTGAGCTATGGTCTAATTAACATAAAATATAGTAAAAAAGTAGCTTCATTCATTATGTTATTTAAAACTTTATAGCTACAACATGCAAATTATTAGAAAAATTTAGACTGCACAAATCTCTTTATTAACTAAAAACAGAAGGGGTAAGAGAAAGAACTTACTGCAACAATCATAATTGCATTATCCAAAAAGCCAAACCCTACGAAAGGTATCGCATTGTGGATGAATACTGAAAAACATCAAAAACAGAAAAATATATTTTAATATTTCTATATTTTTAAAATGACAAAAATAGACCATATGATTAAAGTCTCCTAAATAGATTTGATAAGCTTTGGAATTTGCTTTCCATTCCCCATAGCCAAAAGATTCTGCTCCTGCTATAAGTTACTCAGTAGAAGCAATACTGAACAAAAATAAAAAATAAAAAACACGTAACATGTAAAAACAGTTGTGTTAGGCTTTTGTGTTTTCTTACTGGCAACACACACAATTACACACAGTTAATGGCAGAACAAATAATAAATATTATAAAAACCATGTTTTACCTGTTTAATTGATATTGGCATCAATCTGTTTCTCTCTTATATCTAAAGCCTGATACCATAAAACTGATCTCCACATTAGAAATAATAAAAAATTCCCTGAATCATATTTCAGGGAAGCTATGTGGTCACTTTTACTCAGTAAATAATTTTTTAAACAAATATTAGAAAAATGTGATTATCTCATCCATATTAGACATCTACATGCAAAAATCTTTTCCCCCTGACAATGCATTAGTATCCCTGAATGCTTTCACAGACTATAAACAAACAATATGTTATTTAATCAAAATGTAACTTGGCCTCTTCCTACTAAAGGCACACTTTACCTCATCTATCTAGTACACAATATGAATAACCTGAGGTAATAGAGGCGTAACTAAAAAGAACTAATATCTATATATTTTTTATACATTTAACCTCATTTCTTTTCATATTTGCCTCTTCAGCAAATTGCAGAATGCCTAGTGCATAGAGATGCTCAATAAACATTAGTTAATTAAGTTGAGGACCACTAACCTGGAAAGGAAGAGAATTCCAGGTTGAGAGAATTGAAGGCAGACTGTGAAACAGATTAAAAGCTAGAGACAGTTAAAAGACTTTATTCTAATTAATCTATAAAGCTGCCAAGGTATAGTCAACATCAGTTCAACTGAGGACTTTTTTTTAGGAAAACATCAAAGCTCTGAGTTTTATACCAGATCCAAAAAATAAAGTCCCTTAAACCAGTTAGTTACGTGTTCAGTTTCAGTGACTTTAGAGTCTTTTTTTATGCAGTAATATCCACAGATAGTATAATTAAAATACTGGGATGGGCAAAAGTAGGTTTGCAGTTGTAAGCATGCAAAACACAGAGTTTATCCTTGTATTATTATTTATTCTTGTATTATATATTTTTCCATATGAAAAACTGTAAACCTACTTTTGCCAACCCCTGTATAATCCAGGAATTATGAAAGTTTGATGTTACTATAATGAGCCAATCAGGAAAGGCTAATAAACAGTCCAAAAAGGCTACAAAAAAAAACAAAAAACACTTCTACCCACAACCACTAGCAAAGACTAAGATCAAGGGAAAATAGTATATATTCTAGGTCATTTCAGATTTCTTACCAAGCAAGAATTTCCGAGATAAAAAGCAACACCTTTTTAATTATAAAGAATATTATTTTAAATGCTATTAAAGATGATAAAAAGAAATAGGACATAGGGAAATGGGATTTTTCAATTAAAGAGTCTAGTCCTATTTCTGTGACTTTTTGCCTAAATCTAGTTGCTTAACTACTGGACAGTCAAAATTTTATAATAAGCAGCCAAAACATATACGCAATCTCAATTTTCAAAAAATATAATACAAATTTTATAGGTCAAAAGAATATAATGAAATTTTTTAAATTTACTAAATGAAACAGTGAAGAAAAGCTACTTAAATATAGTGCTGGAGAGGTGTCTCCAAAGTCATCTTCTTAGTTGTCTTTGAAATGTAAATGTGGCAAAGTAACTAGAAACCTTTGGGATTACTTAACATTTTGGCACCTCTGAAACTAGCCAGTTACAAATATCTTAAAATTAGGGGTTAAAGCTATTAAACTAAGATTAGATTAATTGCTATTAGTGAAAACTTGGTCAATAAAACCAAGGCACACTGCTATAATAGTAATTTTGAACTAAAAATATAAATTTTTATGTTCAGACCTAAATCAATGTGACCTATAATAAAAATTTTATTTTCAACGCAAAGGAAAAAATACAATTTTCCTTTATTTAAAAAGTTAAATAAACATGTACTGGATACTCCACTGGGCACTTGAGATACAAAGATAAATGAGATTCGGTTACCAGCCTTCAAGATGTTTGAGTATGATAACAGACCTATATAAACAGTTAATTTCAATATGACCAAAAAAATGATAATAGTATTATACAGTGCTATGGATATAGATTGTATGAATATAAGCTAGGAGAATCAGGAAAGATTACCTGGAGAAGTCTTAAAGAATTCTTAAATTGCTTTGGTATTTGGGAAAAGTTAGTTATTTCTAACATAAATTACATTCTACTTCTGAGAGAAAAAAGAACTACTAAATAAGTTTTTAAAAAATTATACGTTTGCTCTCCATCCAGTATGTAATGATCTCCTTCCAATTTGTAATTTCTTCAATTTCCTTTGGGAAATACTATTCTATAACTCAGCAGTTATTAGCAAATCGCTCTAGTACTTAGCTTTAACTTAAAAACCTACTCAAATTTACTGCACTATAAATAATTCTCTTCTTTCACTGTCTTCATAATAAGCTCCCAAGCTGTTTTGCATTAGTTCAGTGTTAGCTTTTGAATATTTATTCCTATCATAATAAAGACAGCAGCATTGTAAGGTTCTTCCTCCTGGTGATTTTAAATGAACTTCACTGTCTTCATTACTAGAAGTAGCAAGCCAGAAGTATTTTCTCCACCAGAGAACAGTTCTACCCAGCCTTGAGCCTAGTAATTCTAGTTTGGCAATTGCTTGACTTAAATCCAAACTACAGTAAATATATCCCTTTTTCTGAGAATTAAGGAAATCTCTATGATAAGTATAATTCTATTTCTAGATGGTAAAATATTTAAACAATAATAGATATGGTTAACAATCTTAGAAATGCCATAATACTGTAAGATGTCTTAAACTGAGTTTATAAATTTTTTGCTTTGGTATAATAGATAGGATAACAAACTCCATCTAGAAAGATTTAATTTATTGGCTCTTTTGTACTATCAATAAATGATATAGTTATTTCAAGTCCAAAATATAGATGCACAATATTTAACAATTATAGAACCATTACCATATCTCAGCTGTCCTGGAGTGGGTGGCTCAGCTTCCAACTTTTCTAAAGGGGAAAAAAGGGGTGTGGGACAAGAATTAGTTACTATAGCATGAGTTCTTTTTTTATTACAATGAAGAAAACACCAGCAGATTTACAACGTTGGGAAAATATTGGAGTTTATTCATAAATTATCTTTTGGTTAATGGACTTATATCATCCATACAGAAAATATTACTTGGTATGGATTAAATACAAGGCTAGAAAACAAAACCGAGCTTAGTTACAAGCCTGCCATTGACTCTATAATCCTGAATAAATATTTGCTTTTCAGTTTTTTGTTTTTTAAGTCCTTGCATCTACATAATAAGCCTGTTTACATTAACTGCAGTTTTAAAAATTTCAAAAATAGCCCTGGACCGTATGGCTCAGTTGGTTGAGTGTTGTCCTGCACACCGAATAGTCACTACTTTGATTCGGGTCACAGCAAATGCCCAGGTTGTGGACTTGATTCTGGGTAGGGGTGAGTGTGGGGGGCAGCAGATGGATGTTTCTCTCTCTCTTCTTTCTTCCTCTCTCTCTAAAAATCAATAAAAACATATTTTTTTAAAAATTCAAAAATATAGCTACTCTTCTTTAAGATGGCAACCCGAGGTGACTTAAGAAATTTATACAAATGAACACTGATAGCGGAAAAGGAAATGTTCAAATAGGCCTAGATATACTTTAAAAATAGTAAAATTATATTTTTAAAGCAATGTATTACAACAATGATTGTGTTATGCTCCTTAATTAATCTCCCTTGATGATATACTAAATACCTTGAGTTTTGAAACCTATACTACTGATTAATATAGAATATTCTACACAATAAAATAACCTTAAAAAGTAGGGTATTATTCAACAAGTAACAATATACCACCTATAATATGTCATGACAAACACACAATGTTTTCCCAAGTATATACAAAGTAAATATATTCAAGTTCCATTATTAAATCTAAAAATTAACAATAATTACAAAAAAGCAAACTATCCAGTCTTATAATCACCACCTCACCATTTGTATAAGCACAAGAGTGGGCTGTGGCAAAATGGCAGAGAATTCTACCCGCTTCATCCTCATGAATTAATCCCACAGAATTAATTGATAACCTGTAGAGAAGAGCCCACATCATGGATTGCTCTGCTCTAAGATTTAATACAACCAGATTGTCCAACAAAACACATTACAAACTGGATATATATTTCCTAAAATATTTATTTATAATCTATGACAAGATAAGAACTGAAGAATTTAGTTTAAAAAAACAAAAAGCAAATAAATCTCCATATATAAGGTATATTAAAAAAGTATGGATCATATTTGTGAGTGCTATTTTATTTAAAAAGCATATAGTACCATCTGGCTTTAAATACACTAAAACCTAGGGTTTAATCAATTGTAGTATTCAGAAAGTTCTAAGAATTCAAGTTTAAGTTTTGTTTTTCCTCTTTTAGAAGTATTAAGAAATAAAGATATACTAATCTTCGTAGAATTTTACATCTGATTAAAATATATTCTCCATTCTTTGACTTGCACAATTACCTCAAAATTTACTTTCAAAGTATGCAAATAGTTTTCCAAATTTTTAAAAAAGAATGTAGAATACCACTGTAGTCCACAGAGAGTTTGCTGGTGAAATAAATATACAAAAGTGATAAAATACCAGAACTATTTGCTAGTTGCTTTACTCTTATTATCACTACAGTTCTGACACTGTGAGAAGTCCTTGTCAATGGACTAGAACATCTTGAAACATCTAAAAATCAACAAGCAGACCTTCCCAATAGAATGAGAGTATAAAGTATCCTTTTTCTTCTTCAAATTCCCTACATACTCACCAAAATACTTAAAATATTTTACAACTCCTAAGATTTAGGGCCAGGTGAATGTATAATGTGCAACCATAAAGAGAAAAAACCCCACAAATAATGTATATAATCTTTCTAACTACAGAGAAAGGTTAAAAATTAAAGGTAACGAAACATAATTTTTTAAAGAAAGAAATATAAAATAAAGGAGATAGGGCAGAAAGGAAAACCACTGGCACAGAGTTGAATGTAAAAATCAAATCACAGATTCTGCCTCCTGCTTCACAAAGAACCAAAGGAATGGCAAGAGGAAATATGAAAGAGACATTTCTTAGAGAGTGGAAATTTTATACAAAACATAAACTTTATGGAAAGTAACCATCAAAATTTTTAAAATTATAAACTGATCACTTTGAGCACTTTGAAACTGTTTTCTTCTTTACCATATTAACTGAATCAAAACAAAATATGTATCAGAAGTAAAAAACATTAGATGTACATAAACAACAGAACTCAATCTTGAAAACAAACCCAAGGTTTCATTAATATATACAGGCTTTAAAATGCAATGGCTACTAATATAACCTTACTGAAAATAGTCACAATAAACCCTAGAAACTTTATTTCCCTACCTATGTATCCTCACCTTAAGAATTTTCTTCTGGCATAGGTAAACTATCTACACTTACATTGGAAATGTATTCTAATCTAATGTTTTATTCAGCCAACTTTGTAGTCAGAAAAACCAATTCTTTCAGTTATTGTGTGTGTATTATATACATTATAATTTCTTTTCCTGAAGATTTTAAAATAATATGACATTAAGATTGTACTTCACCACACCATATTTTCCAACTATTTTTACCTAAAAAATTCTAGTCCTACTTCTAACACTGGCTGAAGAACCTTCTATCAGACCAATCCTTCTGCACAGAACAACTATAAATATAGACTAAAATACAATATAAACAAATAAGCACCTGAAAGCCTTGGAAAATGACCAAACATATGTTGATTCTGGAGAGGAATCAACACTCAGAATTCTGGAGGAATGGAACTAAATGAACTGCCTGTTTGTTGCAGTTTTTGGCCTGAGGGCACGCCTCGATCCACAATGTGCAGAACCACTAAAACGCTAATGAAATATCTCCAGGTTTTCTGGTCTGAAGAAGCAGTGAGCAGGGTGCAAAGTAACCAAAGCCCCTAGAAAGTAGGAGGGGAATCCTGGAAAAAACAGAATCAGAATGGAAGAATCCTAAATTCTACAAACATTCAGCTCAAATATATGGCTCATCTATGAGCCACACAAAGGGAAGACTCCCCAAAATCCTAGCTAAGGGTAAAATAATGAAAGGTTTGAGCAGCAGTCCAAGAGACAGATTTGTAGTATAAGCCTAACCATTAATTGCCTGCTAAAACAAATTTTAAAAATCTGTATTTTAAAGAATAAAACAGAATCCAGGGTCTCTGTAACATAATAATCACAACAATGACTAGGATACAGTTCAAAATTACTTCAAGAAGAAACAGGAAAACATGCCCCATTCTCAGGAAAAACAACAATAGATGGAGACCAATCAAAAGTAACTCAAGTGTTAGAAGTAGCAGACAAGGACTCTAAAGTAGCAATTAAAAGTATACCCAAGGTGTAAATGAAAATATGTTCAAATAGAAATTATTAAAGAACTGAAAAATGCATTATCTGAAGTTTTAAAATTAACTGTAAAGGTTTAAAATCAAAATGGAGGTGACAGAAGAAAAAGTTAGTAAACATCAATATAAGATCACAAATCAAGGAAAAAATTTAAAATCATTTATAACAGACTTAGTAACTATCAAAGCAACTTCACCCTGAATGACATAAAAGGAACAGTTTAATACACACAGTATTCCTTTCATTACAAAAAACTAAATACTCTTTAAGTGCCCAACTATCTACTTTCTGATCTTTTGACCACCTAATAATATCTACTCCCGGCCCCACCCTAGCATTTTCCCAAGAAAGTACTGGCATAGACTTGGCAACACAAATCACTATTTGGCCTAATAAGAGATCTGTAAAAAGGAGAGATGAAACTACTATGTTTAAGCAACAATTTGGGGATAATATTTCTTTTTTCTTTTTTAATATATCTTTATCGATTTCAGAGAGAGGAGGGGGGGAGAGAGAGAGAGAGTTGAAACATCAGTGACAAAAGAGTCATTGATCTGCTGCCTCCTGCATGCCCCCAACTGGGGGTGGAGCCAGCAACCCGAGCATGTGCCCTGATCAGAACGAACTGCGATCTCCTGGATCCTAGGTCGATGCTCAACCACTGAGCCACTCCCGGCCGGGCTGGGGGCAATATTTCTGAACATTACAAATAACTGCTTAGACTTTTAATAGAACCGAAAGTTCCAATGGATAAGGTAAATTCTATAATAAATATATAACATTAAAATATACAAACTTGAAGTTCAAACCATGCTGTATGCAAAACAATTTAAGCAAATCATATTAAATGTAAAAAAAAATCAAACATGCACCAAAAGAGGTTTATAAAGCTAGACAGCAATATTTTTTAAAATAAACAAATTAATATGGCTAGGAAATATAAAAACTGACATTCAAAATTGAAAAATGAAAATACTCTTCAGAAATAGCAAGGAATTTAACTTTTTAACTTAGTAAATTTCAATCAACAGGTTTTGTCTTTTAAAATAAAGACTATAATTATAAAAGGACTTTAAAATTATTTTAAAAATATATATGCTTTAGCTAAGATTCCCCCCAAAAGAATTTGAGTGTGATTTTGTAATTTTATTTAGTATTTAAAAGTTTCCTGCATATTATGTAGTAAAGAAATTTCTATACAGATCACATAATACAGTCATCTCATTAACCTTCTGGGGTACATATCATGTGACCTGGGGCTTCATTGCAACCTAGGCTGCAATCCAGTTTACTTAAGGGCAACTAACCAATTCCTGGGCTGAGGCAGGCCAGTGGCGTAACAGTTGAGAGGACAGGAGTTGCCCAGTAGTAATGATGAGATGATAATGCCCAATGAATTATCATCTTTATTAACCTCATTAATATACTAACCTGTTAATTGTTTACCTCTGACTTAAGAAATAGTAAATACTAGAAGAGAAATAATAATTCTCTATACTATAAGAGAAATAAATTATTATAATAAATTATTATTTCTCTTATAGCTGTCATTTCATGG